TAAGCCTGAATCAGTCTCCAGTCAAAATATATGCAGCTTGAAGTTTGTCCACATACCTCAATATGTCTCATAAAAATTTGGACTTAGACTTTAAGATGACATATAGCTTAAGAAAGGATTTGAGAGTTTCATCGAAGAATACATAATGATCTAGAAATGCTATTATCTATTATTTACGAAACATGCTATGGTACTCTTAGCATTGGGCTCCACACTGCATCAAATGCAGTGCTTTCCCTTTAAGGAGCTTATAATCTAAAACATACAAATAACCATATGCAGGAAAAAAGCTAGAGATCAGAGTAAAAGGAAGCATTCACAAAAATGTACAAATTCAGCATGCCAGAACTTTTCAGTTGAGCAATATGATCCCCAGTGAAATTCTTTCCAAATGATGTATCATGTGCACAAGTTATAAGTGATTATCTTCAATTTTCTTAGAAATGAGTAATAAGATACCTCTTAAGACCCATGCTTTTGTATATGCATCAAACACTAGAGCTGGCGTGGTCCTATTGATAGCTGCCATTTAAGGAGAAAACATATTTTCTGTCTTGTCTCATAGCAGACAAATCCGGACCTCTTTTCTCCCAGGTTGGTAATAAGCAGCCTCTTTCTAGGCTACAGTGAACAGCAAACATTGCAACTGTAAGATGGAAGCAGCAGAATGCTCAAAAATATTGCATCAAAACATTGGATACAACCTACCAGCCCATAAGAAAAAAACCACATTGCCAAGCTGACACCATCTGTGTCAGCTAACATCCATCGAAATCTTCTTATGCCTGTATTTCCTAATGCTTACAAACAGAATTTGCTCCAAGAATTAAGAAAACTCTGTTTAAGATGGCGGCCCTATTAAGTGACTTCTCCCTATCTCCCACTTCATCTCTTCAGTTTCTTTTTCCATTGACCAGGCTGGCTATTGTGATCATTTCAGCCAATTTCCTGAAGGTATTTTCTAGCCCTTTTCACCCTATTTAATCCTACAAGTTTCCTGAGAAGCCTGTTTACTCGTATGCTCCCCCACTAGACTGTGAGCGCCTTGACAAAAGGGACTATGTCTTCTTCCTCTGGGCACCCCCCAACACCTAACAGAGAGCCTGCCAAAGAGCAGGCACTCTGAGACTCCTTTCAAGCCAAGGTGCTCCACCGATCATCAGCCATCTCTTCATCTTGGTACATCTTGGTACCAAGCATCAGGATTAGCGTAATAAATATATTCAGACCACATCTGAGCAAGTTCTCCAAACTAGTCCAAGTTAGCACGTGGTAATACGACTTTTCCAAAGTTTCAACAAATCACCTGCTCACTCAAATATCTAGTGCAATCTCAGGGGAGAGAAACCCTCCCGTGCCTCACTTTTTCTGTCTCCCGGCTTTAGCACCACTAACAGCTTCCAACTAATTGGGGAGCCACAGCTGGCAACCCGGATGAGATTGCTAGTTCTCATACTTTAAAACAACAGCAACGAATACCAAACTCTCTCTTTTTTCAAGAATGTTGATTTTTATTTTTATGTTGTTTCATCTATTTTGAGAAACTCCAAGTCGATTTTGGCTCTTCAAGGCTGCCTTTTACCCATATAGGCATTTGGCCTTCTGGATTGGTTCTTGCACTTTCCAAGGCCCTCTAAGGCAAGATTCCTCAATCTTCTGGGAGTTGCAACACTACCACGGTTTGTTTTTCTCATTTCCATCCGTTCCCTTCACCATCACCACCGCCCCCCCCCAAAAGTGGTGTATGGCATTCATAAAGTGAATTACACTTGATTTCTGTTTAGAGGAATTTTTTTTCAGACTTCTGTAACATTCCCTTGAGACAATTGGAAACATCATTGTCTGATTACTAGCTCACTTTCCATGCCTAAAATTGTATCCATTCTTGATTGCGCCTGTGGGTAGGTTAAGCAAAACAAAATAAACATCTAGACTTATGAGCTCATTGGCTTTTTTCTGAATTTTTCTAAATTAAATAAGGGCAAAAGAGCTGCACTGAAAGTCAGTTATATGGATTTTTCTGCCAAATGCTAACTGTGTGCCTGGTTTCCATCTGTGGTGCTTTCCAAGTTACAAATCCTTTTTTAAAAAAAAAAGAGTAGGGTATGAAAAGATCTATGGATTTGGGGGACATGCCATTTAGAATTGCTATCCTGTGTGTTTGAACACTAAAAAAAATGGGAACATGAGATTGTAAGGCTTTAGATCAGCTTTGTGGAAGTCTAGTGTAGTCCTTCAGCACCAGTGATTTATTGAGGCTGGCCGATTTCAAATGCTATTTAGTCTCATCCATATTAGCCTAAGAAATGTACCTTCTCCACTCTAACCCAATTCTGCTAATGGTCCAAGTTAGCAGTCAATCCCAAATGCTCCCCGTAAGTGACACAGGACATTCTTGAGGATTTCTCCTTACTGTGACCAAATCTCATTTTATCTGGGACAAAGAAAGCTTCAATGCAGTTAATACAGTGGAGCGGGCAAACTGAAGATGGCTTAAAATATGGATAGGGAAAAAAATGTCAAGCGGTCATCATGATGGTTCATAACTATCAAGTAATTTGCAGCTCTTTTTCTATTTCCAACCATTGAATAACAGCAGCAAGTCCCACATTTATTCCTTTTTAAATTATGCACTTGCCATTGTGTTTAAGTCCGCCATTATCATCTCTTCTCTGAAACACTGATGAGCTCTTTCCACACACAGACATTAGGATTTCCACCATGCTTTCTGTATCTACAAAGACCGAATTTGCCCAACTAACATTTGGGACACATGGTTTCATGCCAGGGCTACTGGAAATCTGCACTGCCCCCAGAAAATCCAGGCTATATGGTAGCTGTGTGGGTATCAACCACCATATTTGAAGTTTGGCTTTGCTCCAGGGCGAGTCAGAAGAGTGCCTGCCATACAGAAGGTGCTCAACAGGGCATCTGTTTGTTAAATAGAAATGAAGTAGAGAACGCTGGGTTTATATGGTAAAGACGCTCGGAACATGATTTTCCTATAGAGTTTGGGAGATACTTGAGGAAAATGAAAAATCTCCATCACAAGTCTACATGGAATATGGCCATCCTTAGGCCAGGAGTAAGGGAACTTGGAAGGAGGGAGCCCAGGCCAAATCTCATACACACGGTGTGTGGGCCCTCCCAATACTTTTATACAGATGCTGCAAAGAGGCAGGCAGCCAGAGAGCTGGGGGAGGGCAAGGGAGGGCCTGTTTGAGTCTCTGTAGAGGGGGGTTGCTAAATGAGTGAGTATCTGTGCATTCCCTCTGGTCTTTTTTCCTCTTTTAAGTACAATCTCTACTCCTTGGCTTCAAATTCGCCCAGTGTGGCCCCAGCCCCAACCTTGGACCCATTCATCTTGTGGGGGCTCATCCTGCGAGGACCAATTTTTACATTATCAACAAAAACATGTCTCTGGCCTTAGCAATCTAATTACCACGGCACTTCGAGGGGAGAGAGATTCGCCCGCTGTTTCAGCTCTGTGGAACTGATTCATAGGTTGCCCCTTACAGCTCCTGCACACGCCCACGTGGTGTGTTATTAACACTTAACAGTGGAAGAGGTAGTTTTACCCTCCTGTAGAGCAAAATCCTGCAAAGCAATATTTAACATATGCGCAAATGCATTTCAGTCACCAAAAAGGGTGACCAATTACCTTTGCAACTAAACAGCAGGCTCGCTTGGCTCTTTTCATCCACCTAAAGAAAAGGCTGAGGGCGCGCTGGCTGCCTAGGTAACCTCCCGCTAGTGAACGCTCGCCGACAGCGCCCACAGGGCGCGCATCGCATTCACAACTTGGCCCAACCAGCAGGCCCGCCTCCCTGACTTGTGGAGAGCCACGAGCCAAGTTTTGGCGAGGGCTGCTCCCCGATCCCTCGGAAGCGCGGGACGCGCGCCTTGGTGGATGCATGGGTGGTGAAGAGACCCCGGAGGCCACAAACGTTTTACGGTTTGTGAATACAACCAGCCGTTTCTTCGAGCGCACCTCTGATAAATTAACCTGTTTGAAACCGACTCTTCTTGCCTGCATTGTCAGTGTAGCAACTTGTCCTAATTGGATTCTAAGGCAGGCTTTTAGGACTCCAACCGTGGGACAGTCAATCACACAAGGCCATTAATATTCATCTGTTGACAGCGGCAGCGCTCAGGGAAGGTTAAAATATGCCCTTACAACACGATCTGATTGTGCCGAACAAAAGGCAAGCGTTCAGAAACTTTCCTCCACCTAAAATCATCTTCCCTTCAGGGTCCAGCTTGTCAAGAAGGCAGATGAATTTGAGAAGGGGAGGAGTTAAATCATCTTTGGACTCTTGCTCCCCCGGCCAGCAGCATGGTTTTGGAAACGATTTTGCCAGCCTAGAGAAGAGACGCTGTTTTGAAGGGAAAAGGCTCAGTCCTCCTCATGTGGGGGACCCTCCTACTCAAAAGTTTCCCTCCGCGTGTCTTTACCTGTCACTGCGGATTCGGAGATCTGTTCTCAACTTTGCTTGCACTTGGGCCCGCGAGCCTCGGGAGCCCAGGCTGCAGAAAGGAGGGCGTGAGGGCAGGTTGGGGAAAGAATGGCTGGAGCCGCGGTCCAGCTGAGGCTGAAATTCTGGCATGTAAGTGCGAGCGAGGGTGGCAAATTCCCGAGGCACCAGCTCGGATGTGCGGCGCCAGTTCGCCGAGGCTGGGAGAACCAACTCCAGCCTTCCCGCCCTGCCCCCCACCCCAAAAAATGGGCGCCCGCTAGAAGGCCATGCTCGCCGTTTCAACCACTCGCATCTTCGCTGACAGCCCAGCAAAGCCTGGGAGATGCGGACACGGTCCACATATACCCTTCTTCTCCTCCTCGGGAGACCCGGCCGGGGCTCGAGTGTGGGGACCACTCCCAGGTACTCAGCCGCTGGGCTCACGATCGCGGCCCCGCGGGGCTAGCGCGCTCGGGTTACGGCCACCATGCGCCCCTTGGCTCACCGCCCGGCGCGGGGAACGCGCGAGGGACGACTCCTCACCTGGCACCGGGGTTTCGGGCACCCACTTGAGTCCGGGCTGCAGTCTCTGGAAGAAGGAGCGGACCTGCTGACAGGTGGCGTCCGGCGGCGGTGGCGGGGGCTGCGCCTGTCCCGGGCAGTCCAAGCTGAGCAGCATCGCCACCACCAAGCACGCGGTGCGCACGGTCCCTGCCATCCTGCTTGGCGGGGAGCGAGGAGAGAGTGGGAGAGTGGCAGCGGGGGCGAGAGAGGTCCCAGGACTCGGCAAGCCTGGCAGTGGCCCTAAGGAGCTGGAGACGTGCCGCTACCCAGCCGCTGCAAAAGTTTCCTCGCAGCTACCTGGGCGCTGGGCGAGGGCGGGAACTGCTTGGTGGCTCGGGCGGGGCGGGGCTGACCGGATTGGGGCGGGGCGAGGAGGGACCGGGCGGGGCGGGGCGAGGCGAACTGCGCGGCCAGGGGGCGGCGGCGGCGGCCGCGCGGCTAGCCTGCGGGCGCGGGGCTGCGGGAACTGCTGGGGTACCGCAGTGTTGGGATCCCGCAGGAGCCGCGCGAAAGGAGGACGCGGAGTGCGTGCGGTGGCTCCTGGCCGCCCAGCCCAGCTGCCGGCTCGCCGCCGCTCTACACAGGGCGCTCTGGCATAACTACTGCAGAGGGGCGGCAGGCTCGGGCGCGCTGATTGGCTTCCCAGCAGCCGTCCCCTCTGACTGGCTCTGGGAGAAGTTCCCCAGCCTCACTCCTCCTTCCCGCCGCTCATTGGCCTACAGCCGAGTGGGCTTTTCCCTTTAGGATTTTTGCAACCTCTCCATCCTTCCTTGGGGAGCGTGGAGGTCCCTGGCCTCTGTACCCCTCCTCCCAGCCAGGTCCCGCTCATCTCTGGCCACCAGAGCCTCCCAAGAGGTCTTCCTCCTCCGCACAAAATCCACCTCTTCTTCCTGCTCTCTGAGGGGCTTCCCTCGATTCTTTTTCCCAACGCAGCTCACAAACCTACCCCACAAATAGTCACATTCAAGGCAGCTGGGGACCGCTGGCTGAGGGGTCGGGGGGGGGGGGAGGTTCACACCTGCCTCATCTTTGAATACTGTAGCTAAAAATCTGACAGCCCGTGGGATTTAACTTAATAGAAGTACACAAAGTCAGAGAAGGCACCTGATCCCAGGATGTTAAAAGAACGTCTCCTCTAAGGTAGCCCCTGGTGACCCTTCATGAAGCAAAGCAGAACTGGTGACGACAAGATAACCTGAGGCTTAAAGTCAGCCTAATTCATTAGAAAACCGTTTCATACAACAAATTCATTGAGCCAGAACTAGCCTGTTTGAGAGGTCTCCTACCCCAAATCCCACCTCTCCTGCTTAAATTTCAGCATTTGAAATCCAGTTCTTTGAAAATCAAACACCTCTCAGAGGAGAAATGCATTTAGTCATTACCCATAAGTAGGGATCTTTAACTAAGTAGGATCTTTAACTCCCATATCCTTTCTAGTGGCTCACACACACCTTAGCACAATGCCTGGCACATAGTAGGAACTCAATAAGTATTTGTATAATGAAATGACTTAACACCTCAGTGTGAATTAGTTGACCATCTGATCCTGTTGTCTCTGATCTAGGGAGAAGCAGGTTCAGATAAGAAAAGAAAAGAAGAGCCTGCACCCCCAGGAATTCTGCAGTGAGTGCCAGGCCATGGAGGAGGAGGTTGTGTGCCATAACTTGTGGGTTGAGAAGAGAGGCAAAGGAAAGGTAGGTGACTGAGGGGCTCATTCATTCATTCAATAACAAATATTTGAATTGCTGCTACGTGCCAGACACTGTGAGGTACAAACCTTGAGATACAAAGATTAACCTGTGGTACCTGACCTCAAAGATCTGCAGGTCTTGTGGGAAAGCCAACCAAACAGAAAAATGTCAGCCCAGCATGTGGTAAGTGCTAACATGGTGGCAAATGCAAAGTTCTAAGGGGTGAGAAGGCAAGTCACAGAAAGATTCCCAGAAGAGGTGATATCCTAAATTCAGGCTTGAAAGACCAGTAGGAATTGAGGTGAGAAAAGAAAATGGGGGGAGGGTGCCAGGGGAAAAGAAGCAACACGAACAAAGATTCTGATGGGAGAGAGCTTGACCCAGTTGGATGATGGGAGGTGCAAGTAAGGGTCTCAAGCTGGGGAGTTAGGGAAGCTAGAACAGCAGAGGTAAGCAAGGGTCAGATTATGAGTCCCCACACCATGCAAAGGAGCCTGGGGAAGCACTGAAGGAACTTCTAAGCAGAGGGGTGATATGATCTTGTTTGCCCTATGAAAATATCTCTACAGCAACATTGTGGGGAATGACTTGGAGAAGGAAGCAGATTGGAAGCAAGTTAAGAGGCTGTGAAAATAATCCAGACAAGAAATGATAAAGTCCTGTGGCAGAGGAGACTTGGAAAGGGAAAACACTACTGGAGATATTTAGGAGACAGAATTTTAAAAGGCACCGAGTGGATTGCGGGGGTTGGGAGAGAGGGATTCAAGGACGGAGGGCTCATTCATTCTTTTTTCAACAAACATTTGAGTGCGGCCTATGTCTCTGGCATTCTTCTCCTACTTCATAATTTTGCCTGGGGCTAGGCCTGCGCCTGCATTGAACATTTGACAAATGACATATCCACTTTAAAAGAAACACCAATTAAGAGTCATAATTTGGCTGGTGAGTTTGATATGTTCCACCTGTGGAGCCCTGTGACCAAAGGGCAGATTGGAAGGCAAGCATTGATTGAATTTCATGACCTCGCAGAGGAAGACATGACCTCCCATAAATTCATGATCTTCCAGAGCTCATGCAACTAACTACAAAGGCAACAGTTGTTTTCAACTACTGGGTATTGAGTACCTTGAACAGAGGGACTACGACTTATTTTTAATACATACTTTTATATCTAATATACTTTATATGAGCCAGGGCAGTGCTTCCCTAAGTGAGGTGTGTGAATCTCTGGTGGTATGTGGACCAGTGAAGTTGTGGTTTGGTTTTTTTTAATAAATTTTTGTTGTAATGTGGATTAGAAATGTATGAACATGCATAGTAGTACATCCAATGCATGAGTTCATTAAGACAAAGTTAGTAGACAATACTATGATAAATTAACTTAAATAAAACTGTGAGTTAGCTTTAAAATTTTTTAATAGTACTGAGAATATGAGTATTTAGCAAAACTTGTGTGGTAGTATGTGAAAGAGTAGAATTTGGACTTCGGTCATAAGCAAACTCACCCTGAGGTTTTGGCAAATATTTAAGGTTTTGGCCTTAAAGCTTCTGCTCCCCCTACAAGCAGCTACTTGAGGGCTTTAAGCCAACCTAAGGTAGGAGTTAATAAAACTTGCTAGGCCTAAGGAATGGTTGCATTTTTTTTAATAAGTGACTCCCAAAGACTTTCTAACGTTTCAGTCCCCAAGCTAAGACTCTGCCAGTGGGATTTCAGGCCCTGGAATAGGCACTGAAGAATAGGCTTTTGGTCAGGACAGACTGCAGGGACACTCTGGACAACTGTCCATTCTGTCAGTTTACAGTGTGTGGAGTTTTACTGACACAATCCCGTTCCTTTACCAAAGTGTTAAAGCTGTTACTTTATCTGCCATAAACTGCCAAGATGGGTGACTATGAATTAAGATTGGGTTTTATTTTTCTTTTTACATAAACAACCATCTTACTTTTCAGGGCTCCCTTCCTCATTTTCGAAGTCAGGCCAATGACTCATCCTTACTCTTCAGCTGGAAGAGACAAAGAGAAACAATCAGTCTAGAAACACAAAAGGATGTGCTGATTGAGCACCGGTGTTCACTTTCCACAATTCATGGCTCTGTGCTTTCAGGCCCAGTTGGAAGCATTTAGATAACACCATTGGGCCCCATTTTCCTCTTTGGGCCTCAGAGGAAGGCTACCTAGCACAGCAGGCCCAGAAGAACTTTTCTTCACCTTTCGTTCCTAGTCTCCAGTTTGAAAGAATTCGAGAATTCCCAGCTGGAGCCGGCAGCTATTATCTTGCTGTAGCTGGGAGGAGAGTCTGGTTCTATGACTCCAAAAGCAGCATAAATCAAGGTTTCTGGGAGAGGGTTAAGAAAGGGTGTTCAACAGCTGCCGCCATGGGAGGGGCTCATATATAGCCATGCATACGGCCACACACGCACACATGGTTTGTCTTGGGCCCAGTTCCCCTTGTCACCACCCCCCCTTCCAGGTGATGCTCTCCCCTCCCCATTCCCCTGAGGTACACAGTATCTTCTCCCCTTCACACCACCCTCAAAACCTCCTTTCTGAGAAGAAATTTTAAAACTCATCCCGGTGTATATGGTTGATGGGATACAATGGGGCTGCCCACCCAGGGTAGGGGGTATTTTCACAGGGATCAAAGCTTTAAGCCAAAGGAACAGGGCTCTAAAAACTGTGGAATTCGAGGCATTTGCCAGTGGGAAGGGAGTGTTTAAACTGAGGGGCAATGAGGCCTTTTTTGGTACACCTGAAATCACATCATGTAGACGGTTGCTTATATGTTAGACTGGTGCTGCTCACAGTCAACACCTCCCTAGCCACACCTCTGTGCTCCATGGCACACAGCCACTTTGTATCCTTCTCTTGCAGTGTATGACTCCTTTGTGGGGCGGAGGGGAGGGGAGGCGCCAGGCACACTGATCCCAATTCTCCCAAACGTATAAGCTATGATCAGAGAATGAATTATGGTCCTTTGGGAAAGAGTGTTCATTCATTCATCCCAGCCAGCAGGCCAGCGCAATGTAAATGGTAACTTTGTAAGTTGAAAGACTTAAAGCCATTTTGAAAATTGCATAATAATCCTAGGCAGAATTTGGCTCCATGTGTGTGGAAAATTAATAGACCCAGCTGAGATGCCTGCATTATGAGTTGTGGATGGATAGCCTCTCCCCAGACCAGGACTATACTTTGCCCTCACTAAATCCACAAAATATCCTGAGGTTCTTGTAAGTTAGAGTTCAAGACTTTGAAAAAAACTATTGAGATTTTTATTTGTGGCATCATGTTGATTGCTGCAAATAAGAAGTTATTCCATTCTGTCTTCATATGTATAAAGGATATTGATCTAGAGTCCTAACATATTTCTTCATATCCCTAGTCCATTGATTTTTTTTTTGATTGGGCAGATAAATGTATATCTAACATTTTGTCTCTATTGCATAAGATAATCAATTTTCTACTA